ATGAATGATCTGGATGCTTCATGTGTAATTCCATCTTTTAGATTGTACAAAGTTTTCATTTAAATATGGGTATATTTTTCATTTAAATATTGCTATAAGTGTAAAAAAATAAAACTAGAGAGTCTCATAATAATTAGTCGCTTATGGCCCCAATAATCTTAGGGTCGGCCCTCGTCATGACAGTAAGACGATTGAAGATAGGCTTGATTTGTATTATTTTTGCAGGTTAAAGACATGTACAACCATGTGAATGAGTGGTTGGGACTAAAGGCTCATTTGATTGCAGATTATGCCTACGAGATAATAATGATGTAATTTGAAGAAGTTAGTTTTGATTTGAAGGGAAAGCAAAGTTCATGTAATTTTGAACAATGAATTTATTGAATAGAAATGTTTGCAGTTTCTTTTTTGTTTGTTGGTGCTTTTTAAATATTTTAACTTTTTAATTCTTTAATTAAATATAAATATAAATATAAATTAATATAATATTAGTGGCATTAGTTTTTAAAACTGTTATATGGTGACAAACTCTTTGTGTTGTGAAATAAATTTAATTACAAACATCACTTGTTATAAGATAAATTTTGCTACAAATGTTGAATATCTTAAAATATATTATGCAACATATAAAATGCATTGTAAATTATATTTCGCGACAAACATGACTAGTTATTAAAGGTATATAACTAAGAGCATGTGTTGTTGCAAAAAAAAAAAAATTGGTAACAAAATTTGTGCCTTAAACATAATATTCGCAACAAACATTTTTCTCTCAAAAACTTAATTGGATGAATCATTGCGACAAATTGATTTTTCGCTCTTTTGATTTTTCGCGACGTACATACTTTGCGACAACATTATGGCGACAAATGTCTTGTTGTTATTTCTTACTTTCCACACCAAACAAATAGTGTTTCAAGTTTGTTAATACGATGAATGATCGAAAGATGTCGCATAATACATTCTGTTACTCATATACAGCGACAACACCTGCAACAATCATATTGTCGTCGCAAAATTATTTTTGCAATAGAGTCTCTATTTACGCGACAACATTTTTTTGTCGCGATTTCGGTATTTTGCTGTTGTGAGTTTTGATCCTAGATAGACATAGTCCTTATTTGGTCCCCCATTATTTTTAAAATACATTTTTCTTTCTCTTATTTTTAACCATACATTCTTTAATAAAATAATATTACACGCAAATTTAAAAATTTTCCTTATTTTTTTAACAATATATTTTCCATCAAGATACTATTCCAAAATACATTTTGAGAATAAATTGAGGCTCAAACAAGCGCTATAATTAGATATGAATCACATTATTCAAGTTAAGTCATACACAAGCATGCATAATAAAGTCGTAAAAATATTTTTTTTTTTTTTTTTTGAAATATTCGGTTTTTTTAAATTTATTTTAACTCAAAATAAACCTAGATTGATCACATATAATTCAATCATGAAGATTAAATTAAAAGAAAAATTATATTATTATTTTTTTACCATAAACTTAATTACTACAAAGTTCAAAACATGGAAATTAAACTCCTATCTCGTAGATCTAAATCAAAGTTAATAATTAATTTTGGGAGCCACTATTTACATCCATCATTATTTCTCTTAACAGGAAGTCAAGTGTTCGAATTCTGATGATGCAAAAGATATTCGTGAGGCCGCACTAGGAGAGCATCCCAGGTAAGTTGCTGCTCTTCAATAATAAGTCAAGGAAACATGTATTAAGCCAAAGGCGATGAATTCACATTAAAGCCAAAACCCACTTATTAAAATTTTAGAAGTCCACATTTTACTTAAAATGTCACGACAACTTTCACAGAAACGATAAGATTTCTCAATTTTTTTTTTCTTGTTTTCATAATTCCTTCACGTCATAATTCTTTCACAAAAAAGAAAAGCTGCCATATTTTGTGTATTTTTGAATTATATAGTAAAATAATGAGGTATAGCTATTATTAATTCTTGCACATCATAATCCTTTCATATTTTCAATCATTGTCATCAATAAACACTGTCAAATTTCTTTACTTGTTTTGATAATCTCAGAAAATTAGCCACCATTGTTTTTTTTTCAAGAAAATCAAGAAAAAAGAAGATAATTCCAACAGAAGACTCTAAAAAAGAAACGATAAGAACTCTCAAAATCCCAATAGAAAACTCAAACAATTCAGAATGAAATGTCTTACAAATATTACTTGAATTCAAAAGGCACATTATCAAATCATTCAAACACAAATCAAGAATCCTTCACATATTAAAAAATCATCAAACCCATAATAAAATGTAATACTTACATTTTTAAATTCTTCTTCATATATTGCTATGTCCGTATGCATTTGCTCTAGTGGCCAGTCTTTCATTATTACTTTGGCTTTAGTTGAAGAAGATATTTTAAGTCTATTCGGGTTCTAGTTAAATACAAATTCTAAAAGAATATAAAAATGTTCAAAAGAATTTAAGGAAAATAAGTATTAGTGGATGGATTTAGAGTGATATATTTTTATTTAATTTTATATATATCTATTTAAGTAAATTCACATAGGATTAAAAAACAATGGTGGATGTAAATAGCGGTTAAATAAGAAATCTTATTTTAATCCAAACCAAATAGGGGTTAAATAAGAAAAAAAAACTTTAGACTCGCTGGATAAATATATACTAGTATTGACCATAATTCATAAGAATTTTGCCAAGTCTTAGTGAAGATCTTCCTCCACTGGCATTTATAATAATAATAAAATAATAATAATAATAATAATAATAATAATCTATTTCTTTGAATTACTTTTAATGCTAAGCAACTCCAGATTTTCGAAAAACTGTAAAAGAATTTCAATATCGCTCAAAGTATCAATTTAATTGTCGAAATTATTCAAAAAACAAATCAGAAAACTGTTACCAAAATAAACTAGAGAGACAAGAGAATGGAAAAGAAAAGAATATTCAATTTATATTTTTTTATCTTCGTACAACATTTATTTACACCTCTTGATTCACAAAAAAAATAATAATAATTCGCGGTTACAAGTAAGAATTAAGTGAGAGTTATGGATATGGAATTAAGTTGGTGTTATAGATATATACCATTATTCTATACTAAAAATCTCGTAACTCCAAGATTGATTATATTATGACACTAAAGTCAAAATCTCGTTCCAAGAAAGTATATTTTTCCTACCAAAAAGTTCTGAAAATAAATTGACTTATAATATTATCTTTAAAGCAAGCCGAACATCTTACTACGAGAAAACAGGGTAAGATTGATGGAATTTTTCCAACCAGCCAAAACACGCCATGGAATTTTTCCAACCAGCCAAAATACGTCGTATCCCTGCCGTCGTATTTTTCCTTGGAAATTTCTGATGCAACTATTAGACGTCAAAAATTTCTATCGACACATTTGATATACGTCAGACGAATAACTAGGTACCGTCAAAAATTTCTAACATCAACTAGTTGGTTGTCAAAAAAGTCTTACCGCTACTTCATTCGTCGAAAACCTAAATTTAGACGTACTATTTTTCGTTGGAAATTGATCGACCATGGTTTTACCAACCAACTTTCAACTGCTTCGATCCATCGGATTTGGTCAATTTTCAAAAAAAAAAAAAGAGACTTCTGAAGACCTCTTTTTATAGTGGCATCGTAATGATACGGCAGAAATTCAATTTTACTGATTTTGTTGATAATAAAAATATCCCAAAAAAGAGTGCATCCAGATTTCATGCCTGTTGCTAATTTTGATTAAACGGTGTCTAGTTTCCTCCTTTTTCATGGAAATTCTTCAAGTTTATTTCCTTTAAAAATTTAATAATACTTAGTATTTATTTTGAAGAGTGACATATTTTGGTACTTACTTTTATTAGACTTGAATCGTGCAACTTAGCCTAGACGACTCCAAAGTAATTTTTGAAGAGTGACATGGATTACGTCATGCATTAATGGAAATAATGATCTTATCCAAATGAGAGACAAATTTTTGAGGTTGTGACACATTTGGACTGTGTCAATTTCAGTGGTCTTTTCTGAATTATCATAATATCACAAAAAAACATATAACATGTTAACTCACTTTTGCATTGATTAATATTATGAATTGACGAAAACATAAATTATACCATCAATGCAACTAAGCGAAAGACATATTAGTCGTGCAAAGATTTTTCATGCCAGGTCTAAATGACCCAGAATTTAGGTACTTTTTTGAAACTTCAAAAAATCATGATTAAACGTTAATCTCACTGTGAGATGCATCAATGTTATGCATCTAAGGGAGCATAAATGTTATTCTTCCACGTTACAAATAGTTATATTATTCGTACAAGTTACAGATAAGTTTCTGATGTTGTGTCATATGAGGACTATGTCTAGGAATGACCCCAAATTTGTATATTTTGAAATTTCAAAAATCACAAATGACTCGTAAATCTCGTTGTGAGATGCATTAATTTATACATTAACGGGAACATAAAGTTGTGTCGAACTTGATTATACCAAGGATGGATTAGTTGTGTCCGAGTCTGAATGACCCCACATTCAATGCTTTTTGAAACTTCACACGTTACATGTAGATTTCTCAAGTTATGTCAGATTTGGTTTATATCTAGGTTAAATTTGTTGTGCAGACCCCATATTTAATAAATTTTGAAACTTCAAAAAATCATTAATCTCATAGCGAAACATACAGGTGTTATGCATTAATGAGAACCATTACGTTATACACACGAGCGGTAATTTATGAAGTTGTGTTAGACTTGGAATGTGCCAAAGACCAGTTATTCACAATCAGAATACCAAATCCCATAAATAACCCAATCCCGCAGTATGAAATTAGCTGGCACTGTCAATCTTTCCTTTCTTCGAAATTCTGCAGACCTTCTCGATTTCTCACCCTAATTTGTATGTGTACATAATTCCAGGCAAAACCCACAAATTTTCTCTCAAAACGCGTAATTTTTTTTTTATTTTTTACACAATTCTCCTCCATGCAGAACTGGAACTCAGCTTTGGGTGATTATGTTGGGGTGGAAAGTTGTGTTGAGTTTGTGATGGATTTTAATGATCTTATGCCTGCGACGAATAATACAGGCGGAGGAAGACAGCGTAGGGTGATGAAGATGGAAAAAAAGGAGTACCCTCCACCGATTTTGCCATGGGCGATGAAAAAATATTGCACTGATGATGGAAGATTAGTAATCAAGGAACAGAAACTGAAGGGCCAAGAATATTTTGAAGCTCATAGGGCAAATGGGCGTCTTGTGTTGAACTTGATCATTGTAGACGACGACGCTTTCGAGCATGCAGGAGATGAAGATGACATGGATGGAATTGAGGAATTTGATTGTAAAGAGAATGTGAATCAACAAGATGGTGATGCGATGGAGGGTCAAGATGTGTTGAAGGAAACTGTAGGAGATGATCGGGTGGTGGAGAATGAATTAATCGTGTGCGGTAGTGGGACCAAGTGTAGTGAGTACAGTAACATGGAAGCGAACTCATGTGGGTTTGGAGTTGCAGTAGGAGCTTTCAACCCAGTTCATACATAGATAATTGTTTTTTCTTTTATTTTATTTCAGTAAAAGTTCTAGTGTTGATTTTTCACATTGGTGGATTTT